GAAGAATGAAGATACATACTGGACTCCATTAAAGCAACAGTTGCATTTATCAGCTGTGCCCAACACTACTGCGTACACAATATTGTGGTATTTCAACACATAGAAATCAAAATGAAAAGAAGTATTTACCATACAGCTGACACATTTTTCAATGAAACAATTCCAAAGTATTTGATTTGGGTGAGATGTGCAGTAACTTCTAACGCGCTTTCAGCTCGTGCACAGGATATATTGGATCTTGAATCAGAATTAATATCACAAAGGGATACGATCATAACAGCTGGATGATGATAAGCAGCTAGAACGCGTTTTATCATATTTATTATATTATCCTGATGTAACGTTCGACGGGCATACCCTTTTCAGATAGGACTTAATGTTAAATATAAATATCAACGTCTCTCCAACACAGAACACTTGATTCAACTTCAGAGCGCTCATACAAATTAAATTAAATTAAATCATACAAAAAAATGAAATACCAACTAAGTGGCACCAGCTGATAAGAAAAAGAGCTAAAGAAATGTTATAATAACTGCCAAGACACAGCCCTTAAACAAATAACGAGTCTGAATTGAAAACAAAATGAAAACGAATTTCACAGATTACCTGAAAGTTTCGTAAAATTTTGTCGATTACAGTGGGTGTGGCATGCCACTCTTTTTCATTATTTTCAAGATAAAATAAGAACGCTTTGAGCTAGGAATTCAAATTTTCTTGATTTCTTTCATTGGATAATTGCAACTAAACCTTTTGTCGAAGTTTTAGGTTAAATGTTTGAAATTTTGCTGATATGAGTTGTGACCATTTAAAAATCTGGCGAGAACGTCATATCCTCTCAATCAGGGAATCTCATTGGAAGCTAGTCGCTTACGTGCAACAATAACCTATTGTTGGTAGAGCCTAATTAGGCTTATTGAATAAGCCTGACTAGGCTCTACCAAGCAATAGCATGTTAAAGTGATTAATATCATCTACGTAAATAACAGGGCTAATAATACCAGAAATAAGGTGAAACCACAATCGTCAGCAATTTGTGTTAGTACTTCGGGTGCAGTCAAATGACTGGATGAGCTTCTAAGCAGTCTGAACCGATCAGGCAGTGCATGTGAGCTGGACAAGCCAATGATGAAGTAATAAGATCACGTCCCCGGCAGATTTTCAAATGGTCATAGCTCAGCCAAATTTCAAACATCCAACTTTATATTTTGGCACAAGCATCAAGGAAAAAAGTTTAAAAGCGTTCTTATGTTATGCTGAAAATAGTGAAAAAGAGGGTGTGGCATGCCACATTCACTGTAATAGGAAATTTAAGTTTGACCCATGTCCGTAATCCCTGAAATTTGTGTGCAAATTCTGAAACGAATTACGCGAATTATTTTAAGGGTTGGGTGCGGGCAGTTACTACCGTGATTTACGTACACACGTACACATAACAAAAGTTATGATAAAATACCACGTACAGGAACAAATTTGATCACACTGTACGTTGTTTAGGTACGTTGCTTCTGTCTACACAAAACACAAGATTTCATGTCGGAATTCTTTTTGATCTGGATGCTGAAGTGGGTACAAAATCAATACAATGATATCATTATATTAAGGGCAGATGGGGTCATGAAGTGCTACAAAGAAAAAGTATGGAGTTATGCTAACTTTCTTGGGAAAAAGCAATATCGCTATTTAGTGAGTATAATTCAGTTAACTTTTGATTTTTGGATATAAGGCGGAAGACTACCGGTACTAGCACATATATATTCGATTTTAACGAATTGAAGTATACTATAATATGGCCTCCTTTCAAGGTACTCAAACCAGCAATTTTGCCTTTTCTCCTGAAAACTAAGATATCACGAACTTAGCCCAATTAGTTAAACCCTCACAAATTACTTTTCTTCGTTAACAAGGTGTGCTGGTTCCGGTTATTTTACAACTTTCCGAAAGTATAATATATGGCCTCCTATAAAGTAAGCTAAATCGGGTACTTAAAGCTGGAAATTTTGCCTTTTAAAAAGAAAACTAAGATATCACGAACCAAAAACCATTCCCAATGATGAACTTCGAAGTTACTATAACTTATATATAATGACCTAGTATTATACTCAAATCCTTAAACCATTTAAAAATATCAATTATAAGCTGGAACAAAATATTACTAAGATACTGTATTACTCCTCCATGCTTGGAGGGGGGGGGGGGGGGGGGCATGTGGTTTTTGTCTCATAACTCAGTCATTTTTGTCCAATCTAGATGAAAATTCATATACAAGTTCAGGGGACCACCAGCTACAAGTTCAGCACCTAAAATCTGGGTTTTGAGCATGTTAAGGTGATTTGGAATAATTCGGACTAAAAATGGGCGTGGCTGTCCCACGGGTGACCGGAGTCCAAAACCCCTTCAAAAGTTCGGTCAGAGGCCCTAGTTTGTTGGTCAATTGCCATCTCAAATTTCACAACAAAATCATGGTGAACCCCCCCCCCACCCCCCTTCAGATATTTTTATTTTCCCTGACTGAAAACTCCTTGGACATGTATATATTTGCAGCCTCCGTTATTCAACTAAGAACAGTATTTTCGTATGTACTGGAATGGTATTGTCGCAACCTGAAGGATGATATAGAAAAATAATGGTTGCAGAGTTGATAAAATCATTACAAGCTGGAGAAAGTTAAATTAAAGTAAGACCACTTAAGTAGCAGCTTGGGTAATTTCCTCCACCTTTTGAGTTGGGATTATTGCACCGCAGCTCTATTTTAAAATATTGACTCAATTACACGCTAAGCTTCTTGGCTCTTGCCATCTAATCCGAGGTCTGACAAAACAAGAACGTGACAGAATAAGTTGACCACATGGACTGGACGACGTAGAACGTAACTAATGCCACATTTTCATCGATCAGAGAATCCTGTTAAATTTCTGGCTAGAAAAATGGTGAAATCGTACCATGCTACCGATGATAATCATAAAACATTTGCGCGCGAAATTCTGATGAAAATAAACGCGCACAGCGCGCGCCACTCTACTCACATACGAAGACAAAATCCGCTAGTTGTGAATGATATGTGGAAGCTGACAGCCAAACGAAAAGTTGAGAGAACTGCTGTTTTATTTGTTAAATAAGATTAAAAAAGGAAAAATATTATTAGCGTGTACCCTTTTAAACTTTGGTTGGGAGGAAATTATTTGCAAGCTAATTACAAAGTAGGCCATGAGTTAAAGATAATGAATGATATGAATTGAATAAGTATGAACTTACAAGTTGTTTGCAATATCAGGAATATGGATTATGGGGACACTGGACAACAATTAACTCTATGTAAATTTTGAAGGTTACTATGATCAGTTGAAATATCAAAAAAGTCGAGACTTATAAGTCAGTAATAAGGAATAAAGATGGGTTTGTTTGCTATTTATTACCAGTGTAAGACTTCAACCGAGGTACTTTCTTCTTTGAGTTCAGCAGAATTAACCATACCTAAAATTAGAAGATTCTGTTAAAAGTGAGTAATGGGAATAACTTGTTAACCAAGAGTAAATCAGGTTGGGATTATGGCATACAATTAATTGATGAATTATACGGTAAATTTCAATGATATTTTTGATGCTCTCCCGGAAAAATAAGGGTAAAGGAGTTATTTCAATCTTTTTGAGTCAATTATGAGCTATTCTATCGAATAAATTGGGGAGAAGCAAACTTTATTTAAAAATAACAGCAAAATGTTATTCAATACACAATATCAAGAATACTTGAACTGCAATTCATAAAATATGCATTTTGACTTACTATTCGCACCTTAACCCTTAGTTAATAATAATTACAATAATTATATTATTATTGGTGAATCCAGTGACTGAGCCAGGCACGGATTCTGGGCCAATGTGAAAATTCGGTGAATCTGTCTAATGTAAACGCTATGAATAACGGGCCAGGCAAAACGTACACAAGATTTATGGAATTGTGCAATGTAAAATTATAAATAATTTGATCATAATCACAGAGAGCTGGGCACGGATTGTAGAGAGAACACCGTACAATTTAATTTAGCGCAATCTTGGGCCTTTTTTAATACTTAATAGCAGTAATCTTCAAAAATGGCGTAAAGACCGCCTCATTATAAACTAAATACATAAAAGCTGACCCATATCCACAAAGTTGGCAAACCCACCAGATATCTGGGAGGAAATTTGGGAAGAATGAGGAAATTTTTGGCATCTATGAGAGGAAATTTCTTGGTTAGCGACTGACAATTGCAGTCCGCAAAGAGCAGTTCAATCATTGGGTATCGAGAGGAAATTTTTCCTCTCTAAATGACTTAAAATTCGTGCCATCTTTAATTTTAATTTGTCCAATGTTTTGAATCCAAAATATTACCGAGTGTCTAATCAACTACTTTGAACCTTCTCTATAATTGATATCCTATTGGTCTATCATATAATCCAGTTAAAGATTTTCCGGATGCTGCGCCCCCTGCCCCCTTAAAATATTACTAATAACCAAGTGTCTAATCAACTGTTTTGAACCTTCTGTATTGATATCCTATTGGTTTAGCATATATTGCAAATGCAGTTAAAAATTTTCAGGGGCTGCGCCCCCTGCCCCCTTAAAATATTACTTATAACCACTTGTGTCTAATCAACTGTTTTGAACCTTCTGTATTACTATTGATATCCTATTGGTTTAGCATATAATCCAGTTAAAATTTTCCGGGGGCTGCGCCCCCGAGCCCCGGCCGCAGTAGCCTCGCCCACCCCTTATAAAAATCCTGCACACGCCCCTGTTGGGAAAGTAACTTAGCCGCTGCGAGCGAAGCGAGCAGGCCACAGCGAGCGAAGCAAGCGGGCCACAGAAGGGTCTGAAAATGGGTTTGGGAGGAAATTTTTAAATATGTGGATATGGGTACAAGCATATCATATAATAGGATTTCAAATACGATTAAAAACTGTAGAGAAAAGGCATCAACAGTGTTTAAAGTTTCGACTGAATTAAACCGTTATCAACTAGAAGGTTATCAACTAAAACTTTAATAAAACTTGAACTTAGAATTAAACCTTGATATATATAATAACTTAGACAAGGCGTTATATATTATTAAAAACTTCTAGAAGTAGAAAATATTTCTTCTGATCAACCATTGAATAGTGAATGCTATCATACAGATAAGTTAAAAACGCTGGAAAACGAAAAAACCATTTAATCAGATCGAAGAATAAACTGTAAATTCTGTGAAACATGTCTGTGTATTTCATATCGTATTTTATGCACAGTTGGGACAATTATAAATAGAAGGCAAGTTAAATTATCTAATGCGGTTTAAAAACATTTTGATGTTTCAAAGTGCCAATAAAAACCAGAGCTACTTGATTTTCATGAGAGATATTTTCAATTTTCTTACCTTCAATACCTAGGCAAACCAAAAAGCGTGGTTAATTAACAATTAACTAATCCTAATAATATGCAAATTCTCACCATATCAGATACTTTAATATATTATAGATATTAAAATGGAAGTGCGAATTAGAAGGATTGTGGCTTGATTGTATTGACACGTGACAGAAATTAGAAGGGCTCATCCGTTAACGCTGTAAGTGTCACAACTCACATGGCAAATCAAACTCGCGCCAGCTGTCCAAGATCCCAACAATACCCACATCCATTCAAGATATAACATCAATTACCAATCAATTACCAATTCAAGATCAATTACCAATTCAAGATCAATTACCAAAACATGAGTCAACTTTATATTAGGTGTTACAACCTAAAGCTAAGTTGAAGCATCCAAATTCCAGAAATCGAAGAGTTAAATGTTGTTATACCCATCTAGAACATCATAACATCACGGTCCAAATCCAAATCTGACAGTGTACTTAGACCCCCACTGTAGCGGTCCCTAGAGTTAGAGCTCTGAAATGGAGGTAATTTTAACGAACATTTAATATAAACGGTTATTAGTGATGGTTATCAAGTCACCGAAAGCAACACTTTCATTAAACAAAACATATATTATATTTAATTTTAAAACAAATGCAACAGATTACAGATTTACGAGTTCGAGCCTGTCAAAAGCTTATTTGATTTTCGAAAATAATCCTATAATTTTCTCAGACTTCTATAGATAATAAATTGCTGCATCTTATCTGACAAAAATGAGGCAAAACGGATTTAAAATGACAAAGTTATCAAGCATTTTTATTTTTGTGTATCTCGTCAACAAAATTGACAGGGTGATTATGTGACAGGGACACCATAATTGGGCTCCCTTGTAATTTTCACGACACTTCGTGAATCATGGTATCTTCAACACTTGTCCAAAAGCAAAGCAACCCTAAGATAAGCCCACAAATGTGTTGCGGAGCACACGAGTAAAGTCTCACGAATCACTCAGGACACAGGATCGTATGCTATTATGCTATACATTTTTCTCGGTTTTTTGAATTGTGTATTCATATTTTGAGTAAACATTGTCTGGTCCCCGATCGTTTCTAATAAGTTCTGATAAAAAGCCAGTAAAACCGACTGGCCCTGGGGGCGGGGCCCCTAACAGAGTTATATTCGTTATTAATGGGCCACCTTCAGCAATAAACCATGAACTCACATTGAAGTTGAACTAATCTTACATATTGAATTGGTTCGTGACCCAGGAATAAAGCAAAGGTCGCCGGTCGGTGTTATCAATCTGCTTTTAAGGTGTTCTTAATGACATTATTTTTGGACGCCCGCCAAACACGAACTTCGTCAAGCAGTCTTCCTCCTTCATTTTAATGATTATACAGGAAGCTGTTCATGTACAGGGTGGGCCAAAAGTCAGTACCCATACGTTGGCCTTTATAGCTCAGTCACTGAGTGCCCAATTTAAATACTTCTTTCTGGTATGACTTAGTACCGCCACTGGTTCGAGGAATTTGTCAACTCGAAAAATATTCGCGTTCATTTTTTTCAAATGGAGGTTCATTTTCACGTTTATTTGATAGTTTGGATAGTCGGATCAAGCTAAATGTTATTGAATTGTGTTTGGCCATTCGAATTACGTTTGTCCTGAAAGAATTAGAACTGTAGCTTCTCAGATGACCGAGATATGAAGCATAACGAGTTTATTCATTACGTGTGATCAGGTGATTGGTTTACCTAATCACGTGATAAGGTGCCCCCGTTAACTACCCCGTTAAACATTATGGGAATTGTTAAGGGTGTCCAATTAAGGTTTCGTGTCACGGTGTCACATAATCACCCAGTCAATATTGTTAACGAGATAGATACAGAAAATGCTTGATAACTTCGTCATTTCTAATCCGTTTTGCCTCATGTTTTCAGATCATATGCAACATTTGATAATCTACCGTCTCTGAAAAAATTAGGCGTTCAGCATGTTCAGAGAAAACAATATAGGTGTTTTAATATTGAATGGGCGTGGTCTAAAATATTCGAATTTTCAAATTTTGACGACGGAATCCTCGAACCAGTAAGTACAGTATGCCATCTGCAAAGCAACAGCTCTCAAATATAAAACACGTCGGAGCTATTAAGGCCAACGTATGGGTACTGACTTTTGGCCCACCCTGTATTATGCCACTCTCCCACATTCAGAAAGACGGCAGATAATCTGAGAGGAAATTTTAGATTTTGGAGGAAATTTGACCTTTTTTAAGACAATGTTTAGGGGAGAAACATTGATCACTCTCTCATTCAATTGGTGGTAGTTTGCAATAGTAGCTCACGTGACGTCACTACGTCAAAATATTAAGTTCGTTAAAATTTCCTACCAAAAGTAAGCATGACAAAATACGTTGCAATAACCAAAGTTACTAAAGTAAACGACCAGTTTTAATTGGTCCGGTATTTTAAACGACCCGAAACTTACAATACCGGAAAGAGTTGGTCGGGGATTTGATATGATTAGAATAAAATTGGCCTTTGAATGCCCTTAATTAACAAGATATTTAAATGGCTTACTGCCTTGATAGGTTGGAGTGTAGACTGTAATTAAACACTAACTTGTAAACTTAAGTTTGTTTAAATACCATTCCTTGACACAATTCTAATATGAGTATTGAGTACCCATATTGAGACATCTCGTGAGGTGCCAACAAATAACAATTACATTTGAATTCTATTAAGCTATTAGAATATTCCATGAATTGGATAATATTATGTAATTAAAATTAAATTATTGACAGAAATGTGTACTTTACAATTTCATTTCTGATGTACCAACTGTCGCGGTTTATTTTGACAGGGTGATAAATTAAATTGATAATTGATAATCCTACAATAATTATAATACTAGGCAGTTATGAATTATCCGAAAAATAAAATAGACCGGAACTAGATTGGTCCGGATATTACCAGGTCTTGAGTTGAAATGAAATAGAAAAGAATCAAATTTTACTCAGCTGAGCACGATTGAGACCTAATTAATAATTTGTTTAATTCAAGCTAAGTTTTCCACAATAAAAGACAATACTAATTTGCATTTCTTACCAACAGAAGTTCGTTCTGTCGACTCTGAATGTTCTGTAGTTGTACGAGTTGTTTCTGAAGGAGCTGCTGGTTCTGGGCTAGGAGCTGTAGTTGCCTAACTTGAGTGTTTTGATCCTGAGAATAAAAGATTTCCGGTGAGTTTTGTAATGATTACCGTTCAGGTTAACTAAATCAAAATTATCACAAGGAGAACTCTGAACTATCCCAGTCAAAGCTTTAAACAAGGTTTATAAAATTACAAATAAGAATAACCTGGAGCATTGTGGTAGTACCACGTTGGTTCCCCCCATTGTTGCTATTATTGTTGTTACCATTATTGTTATTATTGTTGTTTCTAACTTGGCTCTGTTGGCGACCACCTCTAAATGATTTGCCCTGAAAGTAAGATTAATGTAAGGACTCTATAAAAAGTTTTTCTTCCTGATAATATGAACTACTTACTTGTACTTGTACTTGATTAGGTCTCCTCAATCATTCGAGTGGCCTGCACCAATGAACTCCCGTTTGTGACGTATCATCTCCCTCCAAAGTTTTCGGTCACTAGCCATCTCGCTCGCTCCTTCTAGGTCTATGTCAGTGTTTCCTGTAAACGCTGCAGCATCTTCCAGCAAACATTTCATCCAGTTCTTTCTTGGACGGCCCCTAGATCTTCTCCCATGCGCAGGGGTCCAGTTAAGCAGGTACTTAGGAAGCCTAGTGTCTGGCATTCTGGTGACATGGCCAAACCAACGCAGGCGGTTTGCTCCTATGAACGTCTCTACTGGATTTATCTTTGCACGCTCCAGCACTTCAGTGTTTCTAACCCGATCGAGCCATCTTATCCTAAGTATTCTCCTCAAGCAACGCTGATGGAACACCTCAAAGCGATGTAGCTGCTTTTTGGTTGTGTTCCAAACCTCACTACCATATAACAATATTGTCAAAACCGCTGCCTTATAAATCCTGATCTTTGTATAAGACTGGATGTTGCGGTTTTTCCATATATTACTCAGTTGATTGAAGGCTCCGGAAGCTTTCTGAATCCTAGCTGACAGCTCACGGTCGATAGTACCGTCGCTGGAAATAATTGTACCTAAGTACGTAAAGTCACTAACTTGCTGCACTGGCGTGTCTTCAACAGTGATGTTCACTGTGGCTTCTTTCGTGTATGGCCGTTGAGAGGTTGCTTTACCAATGACCATAGCCTCAGTCTTTTTACCATTGATTCTGAGACCTCCCTGGGCACCATACATACACAAAAGGTCAGTTGTTTCTTGAAGACCTTCCTCGCTGTTATCCAGTACAGCCATGTCATCTGCATAGTCTGTATCTAACACAGTGATATCATCAACAAGCGGACTGATAGATCTTTGAAGAACCGCTCCGTGGGACACCACTTTGTTGCTTTCTGTTCTCTCAGCAGCCACATTGAGGCAGACATTAAAAAGTGGGGGACCCTGAATGTCTCCTTGGCCACTGCCTGAACTTACTTCAAACCATTCTGATAGTTCACCATTGTGTCTAACAGCACTGACAGTTCCATTAAAGAATGATAATATGAACACCCTCGATTAATCTGCAACCTTTTACGATTTTCACAACTAAAGATATTCAACAAACAAGAAAGGTGGTTAAAAGTGGTAAAGTGGCCTTAAGACACGTGAAAAAGTTTGAAAAAGTTGGTCAGCCATAAAGGGCACCTAATGGGACTCAAAAACGTCAAAAATCAGACGGATCTGTCTGTACTGAAACAAGTTAAAACAAGTTAATGACTTACTCTACTTCTGAAGCTTTTGCCTCTGGTGCTGTTATTATAATTTCTCTGTTGATTATTTATGTTTGTGTCGTTGTTGTTGTTGTTGTTGTTGTTACGTTTGAAATTGTTCCCACCACGATTGTTGTTTAGCCTGAGCAGAAAATAACTTAAATTGCAAATAAAGTGAAAACTTTTTTGTTTCTAAGAGCTATCATGCATAAATAGCTTTCATAAATTTTTTTCAAAAAAGATATACTATAATATACTTTATTATACAAAATAGTATTATAACTGAAATACACTAATTTATTTTCGACACATTGGCAGAAGGAAGTGTTACCTCTTCACTGGAGAAGTGTTGCTGTAATTGGAAGTGGATCTGTTGACTCCTCTACCTCTACCACCACGACCTGAATAGATTCATCTGATTTAAGTTAGCTGTTAGGAAGATGTTGAACATCACTTCGTGATTATTTATTTATCTTTAAAAAGCTTAAAAGCAAACTGCAGAGATAATGGTTCTGTATGTATTTCCCTTATGTGAACCCAATGTGTTCCCAATGTGTTCAACAGTTCATTAAAATTTCTGAGGTGCTATAATATGTTGTATTTACTAGATCTGACATAATCGGCCTTTAAGAAAGTTCCAGTATTTACCTCCACGTGACCTGATACCTCTTCCCCTGGTATAACTGTTATTCTTGACATAGCTGTTTGATCCATCAGCAGTGTTATCTTTCAGACCAGAGTTAGGCTTTCCTCTGCCACGGCTGGCACCTAGCAGTATACTGTGTGATTAGTGCACCTGTATAAGGAGATGTTCAGCTGCAGGCTGAATATTGGGAAAATACTACAGCAGATCGTTACGAGGAGCAACAAGGGAAGGAGCTTATTAAGTTGGTAACCAAATGCTGAAGAAGTAGACTTAGCACAAATAAGATTCATGTATATCAAACTCTTGAAGGTATCGAAAAAACCAACCTCGACCCCTTCCGGTTCCTCGTCCTCGTCCTCTCTTGAGACTCTTGTCAACTTTGATTATGTCATCTGGAGATGACCAAATAAATACAGAGAAGGTATCAAATATTTAATTAATAGCATTGGAATTTAACTTAATTCACGATGTCATCCACAATTTAAATTTTAAAAATGCATTTAATCAGTGACAACAGAAAACAGAAACTTACCAAGAGCCATGTTTATTCTGTCGTTTCCACCCATTGTTGGGATCTAACACCCTATAACAAGGTGACGTAGTCAGATAATTGATCACATTAATTAGGCAGCAAATTCATGACAGTCGAATTCTGTATTCAGCATAGCAATAATGTAAACTTTGCAAAATAAGTTGAATAATGAAATGAGACATAAAACAAAAAGATCTCAAACAAAACTGGAGACTTGAAGACGGATCTATACTATAAATTAAGAGGCCATACAAACTCGCCTTGAGTCATTAAAAACGTTGTTTATACATGATTAACAGATTTCGAAATGTCATAGATTAATGGCCAGGTAGCGCAGTTGGTTAAAACGCCATCTTTGCAAATCGTGCGGTTGCAAGTTCGAATCCCACTGTCTGCCTGGTCGTGGGGTGAGTGTCATTGACGTTAAGCTAAGGATCCTGAGTGGTCTATGCAGCCCACTGGTATACTCAGCCGAATACTCGAGAAATCGGGTGTGAGGGTTAAATGAGGAGCTGCACATGGCAGCAAAGTCTCGGGTGAAGAAAGTATGGTACACACTACTGGCCAAATAAATCTTTTGGCTTCCTGAAATTGGCTGGTTGCACTTGTGTAACAACAAATAAGTGTCTTGATAAAAAATGACTGGACCATTGTTAGCCCTAAGCGTTTTGATCCCTCATTCCTGCCCCTATCAAGATTCCTGAGAAAGTGCGATAAGACTGGATTTTGGGCATTTGAAAGTTCGATTGTCACGTGTCAATCAGGATCGATTTCAACCGATTCCTCTCTAGAAAGGCAGTAAGTCCATTTTTCCTCAGATAAAGTCAACACAGAAAATACAACATTTGAACTATATTTTTGATCATATGCATATCTTTGCATACTATAATTATGTGGGCCTCCTGTGCATTGCAAGTACAGGGTGGGCCAAAAGTCAGTACCCATACGTTGGCCTTAATAGATCAGTCACTGAGTGCCCAATTGAAATAATTCTTTCTGTTATAACTTACTACCACCACTGGTTCGAGGAATTTGTCAAATCGAAAAATATTCGTGTTCATTTTTTAAAATTAAGGTTCATTTTCGCATTTATTTGATAGTTTGGATAGTCGGATCAAGCCAAATTTTATTGAAATGTGTTTGGCAATTCGAATTACGTTTGTCCTAAAAAAATGAGAGATGTAGCTTCTCAGATCACCGAGATACGAAGCATAACGAGTTTATTCATTACATGTTATCAGGTGATTGATTACCTAATCACGTGATAAGGTGACCCCGTTATCCAGCCCGTTAAACATTGTGGGAATCGTTAAGGCTGCCAAATTAAGATGTCGTGTCACATAATCACCCAGTCAATTTTGTTAACGAGATACACAAAATGCATGATAACTTCGACATTTCAAATCCGTTTCACATAATTTTTTCAGATCAGATGCAACATTAAATAATCTACCGTCTCTGAAAAAATTAGGCGTCCAGCATGTTCAGAAAGAACAATAATTGCAATATAGGTGTTTCAATATTGAATGGGCGTGGTTTAAAATATTCGAATTATCAAATTTTGGGGACGGAATCCTCGAATAAGCAGAGGCAGCCCGTGGGAAGTGGCTGGCAGTTTTGTTGGGTGTCCAATCGACGGACTGGGGAGGGGTTACCTGAGGACCCCAGGCTATTATGTTCCGAATAAAAATTCGGCGGAATGACAGGCTGAGCGCCGCCCAGTAAGGGAGGGGAGGGGGTAGGGGGACTTGGGGCTGGCCCAAGCTCCCTCCAAACTACCGATTGCATTACACACAGGGCCTCATGAATGTAATGTGTCACACTTCACAGGCGACAGCAAACAATAACAACAACTTATAATCTGGGTGAAACAAGACACCACAAGTCTAGGTAAACTATAGGTAAAAATATAATATTAATCATAAGCTAAAATGTACTAATCTTTGTATTCTAAATGGGGAAAAGAAGAAACATTGTCAGTCAGTCGAGAAAATTGTCAGTCAGGCTATACGGGTATATGGCCCCCAGAATATAGGTCGTTTTTTGAGCACTTAGAAACAGGTGTTAAAACTACTTCTAAGCATGTTTAGGGCTGTAAATATGTACATAATAACCCTTTAAATGTTTCTTGGGTAGTTGAAAATAATTATTAGGTTTTTAAGTGTACTTTTTTTTCACCTGTAAAAATACCATTTTTTAACAGGGCCCCCAGAATATAGGTCCAAACATCTGTTCCTAAGTTGTTCTAAAATTGTCACAGACAGTTATATGCAGTCAGAATATGTTGCTGAGACTGTATTGATGATGCCAATGGCTCCAGATACTAAATTGAAATGGTTTAGAGTATACTTAATAGCAAAAAATCAAAAACTACGGCCCCCAGAATATAGGTATGCAAAAATCGTCCTCAAATACTCCACCTTCATACATTTTGATGATGCCATCTCTTCAGCATATGTTCTTTAACTGTTTCTCATCACTACCCCACATTCCTTAATGCTCAGGGTGACAGAGAAAATGCAGAATCTTGGTCGCTATTTTTTTTTTAAACCTATATTCTGGGGGCCATATACCCGTAATGAGTAAAATCTTTAATTTTACTTGTTAAAAAGCTTTCATGCACTCATTTAGTAGGGATCTTAACTAAATACTTAAATAAGATTGAAGGAGTGTCCCTAGATATGATTGAGGGGGGCTGTTTTTATCTGTATCAATACAATGTGCACCTCAATGACTGTAAATCAGACATTTTTGGCCGCCAAATTTTTTTAAAGGCCTAACTCAAAATTCTGTCCCAAAACTTAAGGTCATGAGACAATTCTACGTTGATTCTGAAAATTTCATGTGAAAATATTGAAACCCTATTGAGTTCTATTGTTTTGAGCGAAGTCAGTTTGAGATATGGGCGATTTTGTTCATTTTTTGCGATTATTTGAACACAGAATCCACAGTTAGGTAGATATTGAGCTGATAATCATAGAGAATGTGTAATATATGCTTACCTTCCATAAAAAGTTGGTTTCATTCAAAAATATTGATATTTGGCCAATTTATGGACCAAAATCGATCAAATTTGGTGCGTATGCCCAAATATGGGCATATGGTTTTTGTTTTTATCCCATAACTCGGCCAATTTTTATCCAATTTTGATAAAACTTGATATGTGGGTTCAGGAGACTAGTAGCTACAAGTAGAGCATCCCAAAGCATGGTTTTGGGCATGTTCAGGGTTTTTGACCAACCTATATTCTGGGGGTCGTATAGACCTATATTCTGGGGGCCCGTAAAATTGTGGTGGCCATAACTTTTTTCCAAATTGTCAGTTTGCAGATGTCTCGATGAAAAGATAGCTTAAAATAATACTTATACTCATACCAGTAGTCTTAATGGCATGTGTTGGACAGATTTTTGTCATGACAATTTTTCGCCATATTTACCCCTCTAGAAAATGACAACATCGTTTAAATCTTTCGCTGTCATGACCAAATATACCAAAATACCTCATGTAGGTCCAAAATTTTTATCCAGAAACATAAATTACATGTTTTACTCCAACCTAGCAGTAACAGATCCCATTAGTATCGCTTATCTTGGTTAGAACTGTATCCACTAACATGACCTATATTTTGGGGGCCACCTATATTCTGGGGGCCATATACCCGTATGGCAGCTTTGTAGATGTTGTGATAATGCTAGCAGTGGTCCCAGGCTTGCGACTGGAATTGCGGTGTTAAATCGATTTAACGGTATACCAACGATCCACCTCCCACTTGTTGTTTGGTACTTAGCATTAATGGTGTTAGCTGTAGCCATTTATAGCAAGAATCTTAAAACTAAAGGGGATGACAAGGAAAAGAGGAAGGAAAAAGAATAACGGAACAAAAAATTAATTAAAGTATTTACAGGAGCATAAGTTATTGTAATTACAAGCTACAATAATAAATCACTGACTAAAACATCTAATTAAAATGACACTTGGTACGCCCATTTATAGTTAAACGTTATATATCGTAGAAGGGCATGATTTACTCACATCACTAAGCATCTGGATGGATAATTAGCACACAAGGATAAACTGACCTTTAAACATGACCACCAGCTATACCACGTAAGCATAGCTCCGAAATAAATAAATTGCTCTACATAGAAACATCTGGCCTGATCCTATCACATTGTGGTCCCCAGGGGTTCGGTAAAGCCCTTACAGGCAACTGGGTCCTTTTACCAGCCACAATAAAATTGGTCATGCCAGTACTGTCATAAACTGTAACCAACTATTTAAAAATTAGATATCTTTTGCTAAATTTTAAATTTCAAGTCATAGAGCAATCTTCTTAATTTTAAAATTTTTAAGAATAATATTTTACCCTAACTATGATGTGGTGGCATTTCATACTTAACTAAATTTCAACTTTGAAAGTAAATAGATTATTAGTGACAAAATTATAGTTTAAGACATCCATTCTGCATTGTGTTTCCAATATTAGAATTTATGATATGTATTGATTGAATAATTGGTAATAAATTTAACTTTTGTTTTATTAACTTTTGTTTTATTTTCACTGGTCAGTCTGAACTTCGGTTTAGCACGTTGTACACTTATTCACCTAAGTTTCAGAATTTTTTCAGTTTAGCAGAGTTAGTACCCGTGTTTCAATAAAATCAAAAGATATCAGGGGAGTTCTTTAATAATGTTATGGTCATCTAGAATACCGAACTTCCTGAAAACGTTATTATATTTCCTCAGACAACGTTTAATACCTTTAACCAGTCTATCACGGCTATATCCTCTATCAATTAGAATTTTGAATATCTTGTGAAGATGGCAGACCGTAAAGATATCCAATCTAGTGCAAACATTACCGTATCTAAGAACTTGACTTGAAAAAACGTTGTAGCCAACCTCGGTTGGGATGTTACTGTGTAGTGAGGAAATGTAAGGGATACAACATGAAAATTAAAATCATCAGTTTTGTTATACACTGATATTTCTAGTCCTTCTGTGGAAATATTAATATTTAAATCAAGGTAGTTAATGATTTTATTATTGGAACCAGCTCGCTC